AACTAGGCATAAAGGATAAGACCACTGGCACACTCTTAAGTTTTAGATCATAGGTTTAAACACCTATACAGCTATAAGTTGGCAAATGGTTTTGAAAACAAAAACCCTTTTGTTTAAAATACCACATGAACAGTAATACACTAAACCATGCTCTGATACCAGCTGTCACGGAACCGTCTAATTTATAAGAGCACAAGTATGAAAACAACCATCGAGACAGTCGTCATTGCATGATTGAGCCCATATAAACCCGGTAGTCCATGAAATCTCGAAGGATCTCAAACTTTTTCAACGTACCGCCAAGATCATAATAGTTCAGCGATTATAGTTCACATGCTTACATAAACTTTACACAAAGTTCCAAATACATCGGAGTTTGAATAGAAAGATAGCGAAAGCAACACACACCAAGAGTTCAAATAAAGTAGTGCCAGACTGCGGTCTCCTCCAACAAAAGCAACTGAGGTAAGAAACACGGAATGACCCTTGCCCTGGGTCCTACTCTTCATCGCCCATAGCAGGGTAGAAGTAGTTCTTACAGTAGCCATAGTATATCTCACCATCTGCAACAAATGGAAATAGCACCCTGAGTATGAGAAGGTACTCAGCTAGACTTACCCGTCTTAAACCAAAATAAGTCGACACCAAGGAGTATGCAAGGCTTTATGTAAGTGGGCTAGCTTGACTCATTTTGTGGAAAAGCATACTATAAGATAAGGATTCAGTTAAGTATTTAGTGGCAGATTATAGTTGAAACCTGATTATACTAAGTGAGTAGCTATACTAAATCATCCACTTGATTAGTTATAATCAATCAATAGTAACCATATCCGGTTTAGCCTTTTCAACATCATCATTATAACCATCATTGTTTTCCATACCACATTACTACGATGAAGTAACTCAGTCCAGTTGCTCACTATCCAGGAGCGATGGCGATTCGAATCGATTACTAACCAGCTGGTGATTTATCCCCCCCCCCACAAACCACGCTTCCCCCATTAGGGTCGCTTTAGGTCACCCTTGGTACTATTCGGATGACGTCGCGGGATTGCCATGCACCCTCTACACCTAGGGTTGTTCCAGCGCCAGGTCGATCAAGTCATGCCTGCCCACTGTACTTTGGGGTTGTCAGCGCATTCTTGCCCACGGTCAACTGGCCCGAGGTGGTCTTGGCAGCATCTCAGTCACTGGTCCGAATAGAGCTACTAGGCTTTGTGGTCGGAAAGAGTTATCCAGCCAGCTAAATGTGAGGCATGCATTCAAAAAGACTGAGGGCCGACAATGGTACGGTCCTTAATTGACACAGATGGAAACTACCAGCACACAAGACCCATGCCTTGCTGCCCAACATTCTGCCCGGTCCCCACTTATCCAACCACATATGGTTATCTTCCATGATAGCAACATAGCAAAACATAACTATTTATTCACCTAAAGCGTAGGTGACAGGAAATCACCCACTTCTAACGGTCTAAGCATGGCTAAGCATATTCCGATGCTAGACTTAACAGGGTAACAGGATATCTCATGGTAGTCAAGGAATATAGAATAGTAGATATGCATCAACGGTTTCAAGCAACTCCTATAACATAATGCATCAAACATAAAAGGACGCAAGTTAGATATTTGCAAACCACAAGGAGTAAAATGGTTCAGGGCTTGCCTTTCAGAAAGGATAAAGGTTGATGGTCCTGGCACTCTGGTAAATCACCGTCTTGCTCCCCGGCCTCGGGTTCTCCCTAAGATGGCACCTCCTACTGCACGCCTCCTCGGGAACTCCGTACTCCGCGGGTGTCAGTTCCTCCAACGATCCTGTATGAATGCATATGCATATGTAAGCGTGGATGCTTGCACATGATGAATCATGAATTTATGAATGAATATGAACTGATGGTGATCAATTTCACTTTATTTTACCGAGTAGGTGCAAATCTCCTCTCTAGTTATTTACTTCATACCACAAACAAAGCATGCATACTTACATACAAGTAGACCAATTAACTAACTACTTGCTGCATATGTGAACTACAAACTAAGCTCAACCAAACATACCAGCAGGTCACACACAATCCAAAGATATGCAAAAGTATCATGCATGTTCAAGACTAGTTCATTAAAGTCTTAATCATCATCTTTTAACAAAAGGACATAATAGAGCCACTACATTCTATTACTCAGAAAAATCTGGAAAATTTACAGTAACTTACTCAGGTCTACAGGAGCCTGCCATAAAAATTTCAGGTTAAATTGATAAGTATTTTAGCCTACACAAAAATGACAATCCGGCAGGCATAAATGCACATGAAAATACTTTGTACTATGAAAAGTGTCAAACAACAGATTTCATATTTTTCCCACTATCTACACATCATATTAATACTGTAGAAAATATTTCACATGCATATGTTTCACATATTTTTGGCCCTACCAAATTTACAAGAAATCAGCATTAAATCCACTTAATTCACTTAGCCATATTCTTCCACAGTACATGCATGAAATATATTTTTCGTAGAATCTACACATCAACACAAGACTAATAAAATTGGAATTACATTTTTCTGACTGTCCTATAATTACTTATGCATTTTCCAAGTTATCAAGCAATTGACAAATTAAATAAAGCCCCATAGAACAGTATCACAAAAATGACATTTCATATTTTTAAACTGTAGGTCTATTCAAGACAAACACAACAAAATTTGCACAAATTTTGGACACCTATAACTCGAGTTATGATTTTTGGAAGCATTAAACCGATTTTCTAGAAATCATTTTTGAAATTCAAATGAACTCTAAACACTGGGTGCACCCGGTTCAGTGCACCCGCGGACACTGGTGGTCGGGACCTGCTGGTCATGCGGTCCCACGTGTCAGCCAGAAGCCGGCAGGGGCTGCCGTTGACCGACGAGTCCTCGTCGGCGAGTCCTCGTCGGCGAGGTCTCCAGCGGCACGACCACCACCTACATGACCTACTCGACGAGCCGCACTAGCTGGGCTAGAAGACGGCGGCGCAGACGCAGGCGAGCGTGCTTGACGGCAGCCATGGCAGGACAATGGCGTGGCTCACCGACGGCTGGCCGTCTCCGGCCACGACGAGGCCAGGCGAGGGGCGCGCGAGCAACCCCGCACCAAGGCGACTCCGGTGGACGCGGAAGAGGAGGGAAAGGGAGGCAGAGCGGAGCTACCCACGGTGAGCGCAAGCGCGGGCGCGCTCCGACGAGCGGTGGCGCGAGAGAACCAGCCGCTTGGCCCTTACCCAAGGATGATGGCAGCTGCGAGTTGGACGACAAGGTAGAGGAAGGCGAGGCGGAGCGACGTGCGTGCGCGCGGGAGGTGAGGTGGAGCACCGACGACGGATTTCACCGGCGGAGCAACGGCAGCGTGCTGCTGAGCTGCGGGTGCGAGCGAGGAAGGAGAAGTGGAGGGGGACAGAATGGAGTGGAGCAGGGCACGGCATGCGGACCGGCCATAATGGCTAGGCGTGGCCGGTCGGGACGGCCACCGCCCCTCGCCGCCGGTGGCCGGCCGCCACGCGGCGAGCGACGATCGGGGCAAGGCGGGCACGAGCGCACGCGCAGGCGCTCGGGCGTGGATGTGGGCCGGGCCAACTTCGCTGCTGGGCCGAAGCTGAGGGGAATGCGCCTTTCTTTTTTTTAATTTCTATTCTCAAAAATCCCAAAATAGCACTAAAGTCCCATTTTAAAGCATTTTAGAAGCATTTTCAAGATTTGGTCCTAAAATCAAAGTTGTAGATTTTGAAGAGAAGAACATTTCTTATTAAGGAGTCACAGTCAAATTTTGCCTAGTTTTTGAATTACAAATTTCCAAAGAATATTTCTATGAAAATGACTTAGGGAGATTTTAGAACTTTTCTAAAACAACCTTCATTTTGACTTTGGAGCAAATTTTGAGCATGTTGAAGACATTTTCATGAGTTGACCCAAAGATAACTTTTGTTCCTTATAAAATTATCTACACTTTTCCTTAAGGACCCACTAGCAGAAAGCATTATAGCAACACTTTTATGCTAGGTCAAACAAAACTACTCTAGGGCCTACCTAGGTCAACTATGACTTAATGACTTGATTAAGCAAAGTACTTAACATAAACATGACCTCATTTTGCACCCTAAACATTTCTAAGTTTGTTTGGTGACCAAACAAAGACACACATGGAATAACAATCATGAGCATGGCATAGGCACACATTGAAACATATCATCACAAGGTTTGTTGCAAAGCAATGTTTTCCTTATTATTTCATGTGATGTTCATGTATGCATAAATGATGCTTATGCTCCTGAAATGCAAGTGCAAATGCATGCTTAACACCAGGGGTGTTACATGTACTAGGTACATAACTCTTGCAACAATGTGTGTCACAAAAAGTGTTCTTGCAATGCATAGATGTGTGCTCTAGGAAAATTTTGTGAAAAGTTGACACACTAGTTTATAGAAATGTGACACCCTAGTGTATAGAAATTAGTTCACTCAATGTATAGAATATATATTCCCCCGTGACCAAACCTAAAAAGGTCTTGGAATTCATTGCACATCATATCAAAAGAAAAAGAAGCATATAAAACCACTAATGACAACTGAACAACAGTTTTTGGAGTATACGCATAGAAAGAGTTTCAGGATAATAATATAACATACATATAAAACATTATCCTGTCATGATTGAAGCATTATGCATCAAGGCATTGTATGTATATTAACAAAGCACTCAAGTGGTTTTTTACTTTGTGCCTAGATACATTGTGCTGGTATTATTTTGTACATGCATCAAGCGTCACATGCGACGCGCGTTTAGCATAAGCAACATCATAAAAATAGGTAGTTCACTAGTAACTCCACTGTTACATGTGACTGTCACATGGCATCCAACAAAAAGGTCTAACTACAAAGTTCTGCGTTAGATCAAGAAGGACAGAGCTTCACTATTTCTTCTGGAAGTTCTTTCTGTTCATTAGCCTCATGGAAGACGATGTACTATAGCATGTCAGCCCGTATCTGCTCAGAAGAGGCCTACAGATCATAGAGTGAAAAGCCAATAATCATTATGGATGATTGTATAGAAATTTGATTGGCCAACGATTATCAATGCCATACAGCAGTGCATATAAATCTGAATGCAGTCAGGTTGAACAGATGTTTAGAAATGTGTTGCACATTGTATAAAAATTTTCTACAGGAATGCATAAGAACACATACCGAATAAGGCCAGTTCACTTTGTCGGTGCCTACATTGTAGTACTCCATATACCACATGACATAGAACTCGTAGTCGTTTGATCCAACCGCTTGCTTGGGTATGTTGTCTACCATCTCACATTTGAAGTTGCCAAATTTAGGGATTCCTGAGTCAGTCTTTGCAATCTGAATTGCTTCACTAAGCCTACGCATCATTATCTTGCACCATTGCCCCTTATGCTTCCCATACTCGACGTTCCCTTTGTGTGTTTGTTTCCATCCATCCCTAATCAAGTTCCAAGGGTTAGGATCCGGTATATCAACCCTATGATGGATGAAGTTGATCACATAAACTGAGAAGTGACCGCCCCTCAGGAAAGGCACAACGATCTGCAAAAAGGTTCGTGGTAACCAACATTAGAAAAATGATGTAAGTAACCCCAATTATCAGTTGTTAGATAGATAGTTCTTTTCTTGGAGGAGCGGTTCAGTACTCACCTCTTTCACGCCTTTGAGATGATGTTGGTCTGCAAGGAACCTATCTAGGCTGCTGATCAACTTTCCTTGCTGGTATACAACCACTTTGTTTCAATACGCATTGCCTTCCTGGTAGATATCCTTCTGCAGATGGCATATAAATCTGTGTCAGCATGCATAGGAACATATATGATGTAGTCCCATCACAAGAACAATGCATAGAAACACACAGTTTTGGAACCAACAAAAATGTGTATAATTGTGTACTAGGTAGACAACTGTTTCACATCTAAACTTTATGGTATGCAGCAATAAAATTCAATGCATTGTGTTGCTATTGATTTATAATGCAAGAAATGGGATTGTGTAGAAAAGTGCACAATTTGAATGGAAGTATTAAAATAATGCATAGAAGGGTGCTCTAGCCATGTAGATAATTGTTCCAAGTAATTTTGTACCAACAAAAGTATACTCTCACAAATGTACAAAATAGCTCATCATAACTTCAATGTCTAGGTAGATCCATTCATGTGGTTTCCTCAGTAGACGGTTCTTGGGTTCATCCTTTATCAAACAATGAACAAAGTATTGTACCCAGGAATCAACAACATCTTCTCCGATGGCAAAGTATTGACAAACTTCTCCTGCCCTAGAGTTGTCAGACCCGAAATGGCAAATGATAGAGCTGCATGGAAATGAGTAAATTATGCATTGAAACCAACAGATATAAGTAATAAGCATAGATACCAGCATAGATACCAATAGATATATGCATAGAAACCAACAGTTATAAGCATAGATACCAACAGATATATGCATAGAAACCAACACTTATAAGTATAGGTACCAGCATAGATACCAATAGATATATGCATAGAAACCAATAGTTATAAGCATAGATACCAGTAGTTTGGTGTGTTGAAAGCTATAGACAGGAATCTTACTCTTTGAAAGACAAGTCACTGGAGACGAGCAGATTAAACAATTCATTGGCTTTCTCGTAGCAGGTCTCAATGAAGCGTTGGGTATTTGGAAACTGCAATGGGACTGCATCACGGGGTTGCCGGTGGACACTGAAGATGGCCTAGAGCCAGGAGTGCGGTCAAATGATGGACCCTACGGATTTAGTAATAACAAAAAAAGGCTTAGACAACTTAAAGAAGCAGCAATTGTTATGTATTCGAAGCGGGTAACACAATTCGTAGAAATGGGTCAGAACTTATATACACATATGAGACGATGAGTAACTTATGAACACCTTCAAATATTATGAATAAATACTAAGTCAAAAGTGCATAAAAACCAGCAAAACCTGTTGTTGCATAGAAGGTGTGCATTGGGCGAGGGATGAACGTCTAACCTGTTGTTGTGGCGTATAATCGAACTGTGGAGGACCACTTTGAGACAAATCATTGATGTTCTCTAGACCGCTATATATATGAGTGACTTCATTCAATGCTTCTGTGACTCGTGGGTTCACATTGAACAAGCCAACACTGCCTTGCCCATCACCTTCTTCGGCCGGGTGTTCCAAATTTGCTCGCACATTTCCAGTGTCATCATTGCCTAGGTTAAGAAATTGGGAAGCTGGTGAAGAAAATAAGGGACAAATCAATGTTACATAGGAAGCAAATAATGATTTGATTAAGAAAAAAGGGCGTACACGTAGACTCAAATGCATAAAAAGTGTCAGTTGTGCATATAAAAAATTATCGGCTGAGGCTCCAATGGGGAGAATGTAGGCCCCATCGAAAATTATAGGGAAAAGGAAGCGGCCAAATAGGTCGCTTCCTTACAACAAACAGAAGCGGCCAAAAACTGGCTGCTTCCTTACAGCATATGTGAAAACGACCATGATGGCTGCTATGTGCGACAAATTACGAATAGAAATTCTAATCATGTTAAATGTCAAGATAGTCAAGCATGTTTGTTGTCTTCGTTCTTACATGAACCGGACACATCTGGATTCTCTTGATGATCACCCATCTCATTGACTGTTTTCTGCTTCCTTGCTTCTTGTTGTTCAAACAAGTAGTCATTCATGTTCTCAATCTGACTGTTAGATAACTGTGATGCATTAGGCAGCGTGCTAGGATAAGTGGAAGAGGGTTGGGACGTATCTGTGTATGAAAACAAAAAGGTTATGTTGCATATAAACCTGATCAAAACTATATAATAATATTAGAAACAAGGTGGAAAAACATATTTTTGGGCCAAAAAAGTACCAACTTGAGTGTCCTGTTATCCTGTTGTTCCTGTTGTTCCAGTGGACTGGCCCTCGCCCATGTCTTGATCTAGTTGAGGTAAGCAAAGTTGGCCTAGTTAATGAAAGACTATGTACATAGAAACCTACCAGAAAATGCATAGAAATATATTGACCATGCGCGGAAAAAGAGTTAGATGACTGCACCAGTTTGTTTGTGATGCTGTTCAAGGTTCTTGTTAAGAGGCTCAGCATGTGGGGCTACACTGGACTGACCATGCCCAAGGTTTGTAGGTGCTGGTGAGGAGGTATGCAAAAGAAAAGGAAGTAGTAGTTATTATAAAAAGAAGCCTGGAAACACCATGAATCAAGGAATGCATGGATATAAAACACATAGAGATAGGGAAAGCAGGGATAACCCCATCAAACAAAGCTGCATATATGTATGCATATAAGCGTACCCATAGGTGCATAAATAAACTTTAAAAAAGAAAGGGCATACATATTTTGTTAACTATACCAGTTTGATCGTCTTGTTCTCCCCGGTCCTCATCCATTGGTTCAGGCTTTGGATGTTCACTGGACTAGCCCTAGCCGATGTTTGTAGCTGCAGTGTAGCTAAATAAAATATGAAGTATAGTTCATAGAAGAGGAATACAATAACTATCAATATAAACATGCAAAAACATGTAAGTGCAGATATGCACTTAGAACTGTCTTCTGTATGCATAGAAACTGTTTGCTGCAATTTTTATGCACTCATCAGCAACCATCATCTGTGTAGGCCTAGGAACTTAATTCCTATATGCCTACACAATTATGCATTCAGGAAAAACAACATTGCATATGTATGTATGTTGTTTACTTTATATTTTTACGCACTCTACAGCAATGTGAAAAGGCATAATAATTGTTGGGCATGTTTTTAATACCTGCTTCATTGTCATCGTCCTCGTCATTACGAACAGCCCGCGGTACCTCGTCAATCATAAAGCCAAATGTTGTGACCATGTTTTGCTACTTTTCAACAATGTTGTTTACTACAGCCTAAATTGACCGGCACTGCTTATCAACATCCTGATCATAAGTGGTACACAGTTCCTCGAAATGCCGCCTAGTGCTCCCTCTCAAGGTCGCTATCTTGCCAGCAAGCAACTTGGATAGCTTGGGGACATAGATGGTCCCCATATCTGGTGCAGCCATGTAGCAGGTTTGGGCTGGCGGGCAGAACTATAGAAGCAGTTAAATAAGTAAATACACACAGCTCAGCGAAAAGAAAATGAATGGGTTATTAAAAAAAGTCTAAGGAAGCTTACATTCAGCGATCCGTAACCTTCAATAGCCTGCCCATCATGGACTTTGTCGGCCTTACTTAAGTTGGTTACCATTTCGCTAGTGAACATGTTGATGCGGGGAGTTTGGAACCTATCCGCCGGTCCAGCAGGGTGGTCAAGCCAGTCCATATAGTAAAGATTGCATAAAAATGAAGGCAAGATTGCATATAAAGTAGAAAACCAATGCATATTTGTGATATTTTTATCAAATGAATGAGCAAACAGGGTTTTTGGAACATAGAGCTACACCAAAAAAATTGATGCATAAAACTGAAAAACAAGGTTGACATATATGAAGAAAGTGGCATTAGAATGCATAATGATAATATTGTTACCCAAGTGCATAAAAACAAAGTATTTGACATGTATAGCTGCAGTAAATTTATGCATAAAATCTGTCAATCAGATTGAGTATAATGTATAATACGAATGCATATTCATGATAGTGTTATCAAAGTGCATAAAAAAGGATTTTACACTTACCAATATGACTGTGTTGCATCCCTAGATAGTGTATGCAGTTTGATCTTCATCGATCTTCTGATGCCATAGAGTCGCCACGTGGCACAGGTCTAGATAGATCATGTGGCACCAATCAATGTCGTCGAAGTTGGACATGTCCATGGTTTTCCCAATCTCCGAGTTGTTGATTGCCCAGCTAGGTGTTGAGAAAAACAGCCTATTGAAGAGGACCAGGAAGAAGCACCGTTTTGTCAGGTCGTCAATACCACCCTTTGCTACTCTCTCCATGTAGAACTGTACAGTAAAGTCTTTGGGGTTCGTGACATTGAGTTTTTGGCGCAGCTTTTATGCTTTGTTTATTTTTTTAGTATAGGAAGCATTATCTCGTAGGGATTGTCCCTTGCTAGGCAGACCAAGTATATACTGCACAACTTCCTTAGTTATCTGGAGCTCCTTGCCTGGACCAACTCAGAGGATCATCGTCGCAGGGTCGATGTGGTCATATAACCACTTAAGCAAAGATGGAGGGCCGCTGCTGACCAATTGAATGCCAAACAAGCTAGAAAGTCTGTAGTCATCGACGAAGACCCGCCTTTGGTCTTCGTTGAGAGTTGCCATCATCTTCGCCACTTCATCTGGTGCGTACCGGATATTCCACCGTGGTGTTGTATAGAAATACACATGTTAATTGCATAGAAACCTCAAAAAATAATGCCACCAAACAAAAGGTGTCAACAAAAAAGGCCTAGAACATGCAAAAGCATCAAGGAAAAACATATTTCGTGAGGATGTGATTAATGATTAGGATACAATTATATAATTCAATGAAACCATTTGTACCTATTTCAAGCCTATATGAAAACAAACTGAGTACCGACTAACTATGCATCCCAAGATTTCTATACATAGTGGGGGGTGTTTGTATGCATTTTGTATAGGATAACTAAACATGGGGGTGTTTGTATGCATTTTTTATTCATGCTTCCAAAATATTTCTACAAATAGTGGGGGTGTTTGTACATGAGGTTTACAGCTAAATGTTTGTCACCAACTAGTATATTGAACAGAGGTTGCTATCTAAAAATTTATCCCTAAATGTGGCCAAAGCTATTTAACAAGGCAAGGGTGACGTAAAATGTGCATGTCTATACATAGTGGGACATATTTTTATGCACTTATACAAACAGTTTTACACAAATGTGTTAACCACCAGCTAGTGCATTGAAGAACAATGCATAAAACAAACCAAAAACTGACCAAATAGTCGGTATGTAAAAATTTATCAAACAACGCATGTAAACTACAAAAATCAGTCCATAACAAATAGCAACACAGAAACAAACAGAAAACAAACAACTAATGTATTGAAATAAAGGCTTGTATGTAGTTTCTATATAGAGTGAGGCATGGTTGTATGCACTTATTCAGATAGTTTACAGCCCCAGTTGTTAATCACCAACTAGTGTATTCACAAAACAATGCATAAATCTGACAACCATTGTCCGGAAAATGTATAAAACAAATGCATACAAACTATAACATCAGAGCGTAAATAATCACAAAAGCTTACACAAGCAGCGGATTTTGTGCCCCCCTCGGACCGTCGTGCCTTGCTTGCCGATTGTGAATGGTGGCCTTTCATCTAAATAAATTAAATAAGTTGGACAACATATTACCAAAGATATGCTATGCAATCGCAAAATGCACACAAGATCAAAAGGAACTTACAGCATCATCAACCTTCCTCTTTCTCCGAGCTGGTGACGGCGCTTCCTGCATACAAGAACAACATGAAGTTCAAAAAACCGAGTAAAAATAGGAGCAAGGAGGGATTTTTTTGCAAGATATGCTGAATGTTTATGCACCTTGAACGTTATTGTCCGCTTGCCTATGAGGTTGCTTGGGTCCCCCACTACGGGTTTGTGGTGCAGTGGCCGGAGAAATGGTTGGTGGTTGATGACGAGACGTAGCAGCAGGACCTCTCGAGAGATCCACGAAGTCGTCGTCATCATTCGAGCTCGAGTCAACCAGTTCTAACGACTTCTTACCCCGCTTGACAACCCTCTTGTATCCGGAGCGAACATAGACATGGCCTTTGAGCCGTCTGCTTCCTGCATCAGTCGCACTTTCCCGGCCGCTGCCATGTGCCTCGCGGGCTGACCCACCGAGGGTGTTAGCCCCGCCGGAGACGTCAGCACCTACCGACGGGCCCCCTGCGCTGGGTCCCCAGCCCCACTAGAGGAGCCGGCTGCGCCGAGCCTCTCTGCCTCCCCCGACGCTCTGCCTGCGCCATTAATGGCAACACCGGCGGCCAGGTCGCCTGCGCCAGGCGTCTCAGCAACGTCGAACAAGGCGCCGCTCCCGTAGCCCAGAGAGGCACGAGCCGCGCCACCTCCCCCCGTTACGCCGCGGTCCTCGGCACCGTGGGCAGCCCTGTCCCCACCACCGACGCCAGACCCACCGCCATCATCGGCTTCCTTCGCAGCATCCATGGAGGCCTGGTGCGCGAAACCACCGGCGAAATGCGGATGTCAAATCGAGTAAAAAACGGCGGCGCAAGAAAGTGGAACTCACCAAAATCGGCAGCGCAACTGTCGATCCCATCGAGGTTGTGTGTGGATTGGGAGGAGTGGGGGCTTTGGGGGAGAAAGGGAGCGGTTCCGAACAAATCGCGGCAGTTTGGGGCAAAAAGGCGGCGTTCTGAATCCGAATGGGTGGGAAGGGGTTTTAATTTTTAAAAGTGAAATAAATTTTCAAACGGTTGGGAACTGTGTATATATACATCCTGCTTCTCCCTCTTGCCATGTATAATTGTGGTTAGAAAAATGCATAGAAACTGTGCTGCAGCACCCAAAAAACAAAAAAGGCTACATCCACACACTGGGATGTATAATTATTGATGGTACATTGCATAGAACATCGCCAAACCCCTCCGGTTTAATAGATTATACTTTCGGGGACTGTGCCATCCCCGACAATAACCCTTCTTCGGACCGGGAAATGTATAAATAAGGATGAAACATTGCATATAATCCCGCGGGAAATCAATTGGCTCTTGTGGATTATTTTTTCGACAACCATGCAGGGGTATATATATTAAACGAGGGAACAATGCATAGAACACAACCAAAAATTGTTTCGCACATGGTTTCGACACTGCCTCTTTATGGGATATTCTCAAACCACTGCTTACCACATGGTTTCGACACAGCAGACAGTGTCTTTCTATGCGCGGTGTAAATCATTATTGTTTGTCATGCTATTCTGTCTTTCTATGCAATCTGTAGTTGATTATTATGCCTACGATTAATCTGACCCACATATCCATACGGTCAAACTAAAACGAGAGCACCCCCGCATCACACGGGGGCCCACCAATTCCTGCCACGGTGCGGCGCGGGCAGGGTATGCCAACGACGTCAACGTGGGACCGTGTCATGTCAGGTGGACTCCCCCTACGCGCTGCGGGCAGCATTTGGGCTGGTGCGGCCAAAAAATAGGTACAGGGTTTGGTGGAACCAGTACAACTAAGGTTGGGTCAGGGCTTCCAATAATTATTAAGAGCCCTATGCTCCCAATATATATATATATATATATATGAGTTACTTTCACAAAACTACGAATACTTGCACCCTTATAACACGAAATTACGACTTTTGAGCTCAATTTCAGAAAACTATGACTACTTGCACCCCTTGTAACACAAAACTACAAATATTTGCACCCTTGTAACACAAAATTACGACTTTTCAGTCTGGTCCCACCTGTCAGCCACACATTTCAACAAAATGGAATTGTATGGCTAACGGGTGGGACCAGGCCGAAAAGTCGTGGTTTTGTGTTATATGGGTGCAAATAGTCGTAGTTTTCTGAAATTGAGCTCAAAAGTCATAGTTTTATGTTAAGGGTGCAAGTATCCGTAGTTTTGTGAAATTATCTCTCTATATAAAGGGTCAGCACCCCCTCAATACATATGACAGCCTTAAGATATACTCAACAGTTTGCTCCTTGAATCAGATAGACAGAGTCCTGCAATCATGTAGATAACGCAAGCTGCAAAGCCTTCCCAGAATAGGGTAGTTGATCATATACTAAACAACAATGCTTCGCAAGCAAGGTTGCTAGACTAACGCTGCATCCTATCATGCAGTATCTAAGTTTGTGCTTCTGGCATGCTGCTAGAATCAGTTACTCCCTGAATTATTTGATGACAACAGTTTATGTGAATTAGAATGATGCTGTCACAACGCAACAGGCATATGTGACCATGGATACCTAAGAATTATTCAGTAATGTCGTATATTTATTTCAACACAAAATCTAGCAAGGCCAAACACTAGTCCAACATAGACATGAAAAAAACTCCTATTTGACACCAGAAATAATGTTGCTATCATATTTGACATTAAAATTAAAATTCTTTCCTATATGCCCTCCACTCAAGTTTTTGTTTCTTGACATTTCCGTCGGTTATTTGAGCAACAACCGTTAGTTGTCAAGTGAGGCATGGGGAAAAGACAATTATGCCCTTCGGTCATCTCTAGGAGTCGCGGCTGTTGGTCCTCCCGAGTCGTGCTTCTATAGGCGACTCCCTCCCCGTAACCCTAGATCGAAGCGGGCGGCCATGAAGGCGGGCGGCGCAGCCACGGAGGAGGGGCGGCGTGGCTACGCGTGGCCAAACAGGCGCGGTCGTCGTCACGGCCTTTGGGGCAGGAGCCGCAGCCTCACAGCTAGCGCGACCACGGAGGCGACCTCGGGCCGGCCGTTGCGGAGGCAGGCGCCGCGGCTACGGGGGCAGCCAGCGCGGCCAAGGTGTGCGCGAGCAAGGCCGACGCGCCCAGGACACAGCACCAACTCACAGAAAGCCGCCGCGCCTTCGAGCTCCGGCGAGGCCTTTGCCCGTCCCACCACCGCGCCTGCGAGCGCCGGCCCGGCCGCGCTGCCGCGGGAGAGGCCGCCATGGCCGCGCGCCTGCGGGCTCCGGCGAGGCCGCGGGGCAGCCCGCCCAGCTCGCCTGACCACGGACGCGGCGCTGCCCCTCGCAAACCGAGTGCTTGCTGCCGGCCGCCGTGCTCCGTTCGTGCTGTGATAGGCTCCCCTCGCCCGCGACTGCACAGCCGCAGCCACGAACCCTGAACGCCGGCCGCGAGCTGTGCTCTGTTTTGCCCATCGTTCCTTTGCTTGATGTCATCATGACGTCATACACACTATATGGTCGTTTTTCTTTAGAAAAATAATATCATAAATTCATTTTTTTTACATCTCATAAATTCATTATATTATAGGAATACACGTATACGTGTCTCACACCAGCAGCAAAACTGAACCATCCATCTCAGTGATCTACTGCTGAGATTAAAAGGATTGATATTGAACTGAATATAATTATAAGTAATTATATAAGATGAAGTTCATTCCTTTATTTTTTTTTATTTTACAGAAGCAAAAATAAAAACATAGCAGTTCGAGATAAAAACATTCAAAAAAAAAGTTAGCAGTGTTAACCATGGAATGTCATGACTGGTAAAAAAAACTACAGGGGTAAAACGGACTTTTCTCCTAGAACTTAACACCGTTAACAGTCCAAACTGACAGAAATGTCAAATAGGAATGAAAAACTTTAAGTGAAGGACAGATAGGAAAAAATTTCAGTTTCGATGTCATATAGGAAAGTGGCATTATTTCTAGTGTCAAATAGAAAATTTTCTCCATAGACAAACCGAGGATATGTATCAGATATTTCCACGGTTCCATGGCATAAGTGGATATTTGTTACGCCGATGCAGCTATTTTTGCCCTAACATACAGAAAGTCTATCACCTGATGAGGAACTATTGAGGGAGACACATCTGTTAGCAAAGCAAAACAAACGACAGAACTTTTTTTGTGGCTCAAATCAGCGTTCAACATAATACATACTAGCATAACAAATATTGGTAGCAGCATATGGTAAATTCTAGTAGTTGAGCAATAGTGAATTTCCAGCCAACCCGTTACATATTTAAACCCACATCTCTTATATATGTCTCATTAGTAAAATAATTAGTAGTCACAAGAAACTCTAGTTCCAATCACCGGCCACCGGTCAAGCCAGATCCTGGAGAAACATACGAGATAACAAGCTTCAATTACATGGGATCAGATCATGTATCACGACTTTCAGAGACACCTGTGCAAACGAAAAACAAAATTATGAGATTACTGCACTTGATTTTGCTTGCATAAGAATAAAATGAAATATAACCTCTCTATCAGCTTTATAAACCTTAATGAATCAAGTGATAAAAGCTCCTAGAAATTTTGATGACATCAGAAGTTTTGTTGGTAATAAATAAGCTTGGACAAGAAAACATAACTTATCGTGTACATCCAGCTCATGCCTTCCTCAAGACCTTCAACAGTGGAAATGCAACGCTACAAAACGTTCTCTTGTGTTGATTACTGAACTGCTTAAACCTTCTGACTGGACCAAGATTGAGATCTGGAATCAGGGGAGATCCTTGGCCCGCAAACTTGTTCCTAGAATTTTCAAACTCTTCAAGAGTAAGCATATGCGCTGGGATCACCTTCACAAGTGACTTCTGTTTCAGCACTGATCTCCAATATGGGAAAAAACTTCTCCGTGCATATTCAATTCCCCATCCTCTAGGTGTTCCATTCCTCACAGCCTTGCCTCAGTTCAAAAAAGATCAAAATGTTAGATCCCCCCTCCCCCCAAAAGAAAAAACAGATATGTATATGATATACTACATGTTATCTGCATCATCATGGAAAATGCACTGTTACTAAAGCAATTTAAATATGTTTCTTCAGCAGGATGTTCAGTAACTCAAGTAACCTATCAAAGTGCTTTGACCAAGCAGATCAAGAGAACTTAGGAGATAGGAGCAAAGAAAGACTAGTATTCAGTCTACAAGCACACCTCTTACTGTAGTAGCAATATATATATATATATATATATATAGGCTCCCCTGCGCTCCGACAACAAGTCCCACAACCATTAAAAAAATCCCGTGTTTCAATTGTTTGGAACGTGCGGTGCTATATGGAAATTATTTCCTACTCTAGGGAGTAGCTACTCCCATGTGTATATCTTTAGATTTAAGGTGTATATGGCCCGACGAAACGTATGTTGAAGTATATGATCATACTAGACCATCTATTGTAGTATGTATGTCAAGTATGCAAGTATACACTGAGTATATGGTTATATATATAGAGAGAGAAATTCCTTTCTGCACCAACGTGTAGCTACTCCCACCTCTCGAACGTACTCCCCGCCTGATAGTATATATGCACGTGAGCGCCCAGCCAGTCCGCGACTAACGTGCAGATGACGCCGTTCCATCGTCGGTACGGGCCGATCCTCATCCACGGAGCCTCCCACGCACGTGGCCTGGCTTAGCGGGTTAGTAACAGATCCTTACCGGTTCATTTCAAATCCACTCTCTCTCTGTCGTGACATTCTCTCTCTCATCCGCCGTTACCGAGTCACTGGAGATCCGTCGGAGGCAGCGGGGCTCTGGTCCCCTTGCGCACGGCCTCCTCCTCGTCGGCCCCATGCCATCGCCGGTGGCGGCCCTGCTCGCGTTCGCGCCGAAGCCTGCTTCCTCCTCATCGCCCTCTACGTTCGGCTGGAGTTCATCCTCGTCCCCACCGACGGCGCGCCGCCCAGATCTGGAAGAGCTGGTGGCGTCTGAGGGGGTGACGCGCAGCCAGGGCGCGGCGGCTGCCTGTGGCCGAGCCGCTAGGGAGAGCGGCGATCCTCCTCTGGCGAATCCAGCCGTGAAGCCCCTCCCTGCCCTCCGCTGGTGGAGTTGACGGCAGGGCCCTCCCATCGCGGATCTGCTGCGAGGATATCGATCTCGAGCAGGTACGTCAGTCCTGAACTTTTTCTCGAGTAATCTTGTCGTGGCCAGTAATTTCTTCAGGTCTGCCATGGTTTTTTTTTATGCAGATGCCTTCCTATGCGCTGTGGCTGCATCAAGTATGAATACGCCTCATCTACATATACTTCTGCATGGTTTGTCATTGCTTGCCAGATTTCATTTTGGATTTCTACATATAATGTGTCTTTCTCGTAGCCATGCAAATGGTGATACATGCCAGGTTATCAAGGCAAATGCCAATACGAGCAATTTTATTTCAGCAGTATGCGGCGTTTCACATCTGGAGTTTGAGCAAATTCAAATGCAATCTCAGATTGCCGTATCACTTCATAGTTTCAGTTCAATACTTTCATCAAATTACATTATGATTAGAGTATCAGTTGATACTTTTTTCAGAGTCAAACAAATTCATTGTACCAGTTGATACTTTTTTCCAGACCAAATAAGGCATCAGTTTATACTATTTTCAGATTAGAGTACGTACTCATACTCCTATAAATATACTTTCTGATAATGTGTATGTACTCGTACTCCTTCGGTATACTATCTGAGAATATGCGTAGGATCTCATATAATTTCCAAGTATCTATAGATACTCTGTATATCAGTATATGAACATACTCAGGTATGAAAATATAATCCTTCTTAAAAAAAGTATGCATACATACTCGTATGAATATGTACTCCTTTCATGAACACAGTATGCCTATATACTCCTTTTAAAAAGTATGAATATGTACTCCTTATATTATGAAAATAAAGTACGAATACGTACTTAAAAATAAAGTATGAATACATACTTTATAATACATCTTTTCCCCAAAGTAGTATTATATTAATATATGCTGTTCTACTTTATTTTCCGAGTATTTGTTCATAGTCTTTTGTTGCAAGTAGGTATTAGTTCATACTGCTACAGTGCATCTGATAATCTCTATGATGTTCATCATGTAGGTGCCATGACGAGCAGGGATGTCTAGGAGTACATGACTGCCTTTTTTTTATGACAACAAGCACATGACTGCCTTGCCATGCCGTTAACCGTTATGGTGGCTGCATCTCTAGGCCTGACTATGGCACGGTGAAGTAGCAAGTTCAGAGTTTATAGCTGATTGCTTTGGAATCATGATGTTCAGGAAGCACTTTTGACTTTAGGAGGGATGGCTATGGCCCGGTGAATTAGCAAGTTCAGACTTTATAGCCGAACCTATATGTTCAGTTTATAGCCGAACCTATCAGTTTGCCTCTACATTATAGATAGAGTATGTGCTAATACTAGCTCCTGTCAAAATATGCACGCATACTATCATACTCATGTCAATGTCAGTGTACTGATACTCAACAACAACAACAACATCAATAAAGCCTTTAAATCCCAAACAAGTTGAGGTAGACTAGAGTTGAAACCCAACAGAAGCAATCAAGGTTCAGGCACGTGAATAGCTGTCTTCCAAGCACTCCTATCTAAGGCTAAGTCTTTGGATATATTCCATCCTTTCAAGTCTCCTTTTATTGCCTCCACCCAAATCAACTTCGGTCTTCCTCTGCCTCTCTTCACGTTACTATCCTGGCTTAAGATTCCACTACGCACCGGTGCCTCTAGAGGTCTCCGTTGCATATGTCCAAACCATCTCAACCGATGTTGGACAAGCTTTTCTTCAATTGGTGCTACCCCTAATCTATCACGTATATCATCGTTCCGAACTCGATCTCTTCTTGTATGACCGCAAATCTAACGCAACATACGCATTTTCGCGACACTTAGCTGTTGAACATGTCGTCTTTTCGTGGGCCAACATTCTGCACCATACAACATAGCAGGTCTAATCACCGTCCTATAAAACTTGCCTTTTAGCTTTTGTGGTACCCTTTTGTCATATAGGACACCAGATGCTTGCCGCCACTTCATCCACCCTACTTTGATTCTATGGATAACATCTTCATCAATATCCCCATCTCTCGGTAGCATTGATCCTAAATATCGAAAGGTATCCTTCCTAGGCACTACTTGACCTTCCAAACTAATATCTTCCTCCTCCCGAGTAGCAGTGCCGAAGTCACATCTCATATACTCAGTTTTAGTTCTACTGAGTTTAAAACCTTTAGACTCCAAAGTCTCCCGCCATAACTCCAGTTTCTGATTCACTCCTGTCTGGCTTTCATCAACTAGCACTACATCGTCCACGAAAAGCATACACCAAGGGATGTCCCCTTGTATGTCCCTTGTGACCTCATCCATCACTAAGACAAACAAATAAGGGCTCAAAGTTGATCCTTGATGTAGTCCTATCCTAATCGGGAAGTCATCCGTGTCTCCATCACTTGTTTGAACTCTACTGAGTTTAAAACCTTTAGACTCCAAAGTCTCCCGCCATAACTCCAGTTTCTGATTCACTCCTGTCTGGCTTTCATCAACTAGCACTACATCGTCCGCGAAAAGCATACACCAAGGGATGTCCCCTTGTATGTCCCTTGTGACCTCATCCATCACTAAGACAAACAAATAAGGGCTCAAAGCTGATCCTTGATGTAGTCCTATCCTAATCGGGAAGTCATCCGTGTCTCCATCACTTGTTTGAACTCTAGTCACAACATTGTTGTACATGTCCTTAATGAGCCCGACGTACTTCGTTGGGACTTTATGTTTGTCCAAAGTCCACCACATAACATTCCTTGGTATTTTATCATAAGCCTTCTCCAAGTCAATAAAAACCATGTGTAGGTCCTTCTTCTTCTCCCTATACCGCTCCATAACTTGTCTTATTAAAAAAATGGCTTCCATGGTTGACCTTCCGGGCATGAAACCAAATTGGTTCATAGAGACCCGCGTTATTGCTCTCAAGCGATGCTCGATAACTCTCTCCCATAGCTTCATAGTATGGCTCATCAACTTAATGCCCCGGTAATTAGTACAACATTGAATATCCCCTTTATTCTTGTAGATCGGTACCAATATACTTCTCCTCCACTCATCAGGCATCTTGTTCGATCGAAAAATATGGTTGAACAGCTTGGTTAGCCATACTATAGCTATGTCCCCGAGGCATCTCCACACCTCGATTGGGATACCATCCGGTCATATCGCCTTACCTCCTTTCATCCTTTTCAACGCCTCTCTGACCTCAGATTCTTGGATTCTCCGCACAAAACGCCTATTGGTGTCATCAAAAGAGTCATCCAACTGAAAGATTGTGTCAATATTCTCACCATTAAACAATTTGTCAAAATACTCTTGCCATCGATGTCGGATCTCATCCTCCTTCACCAAGAGATGCTCCCTTTCATCCTTAATGCACTTAACTTGGTTAAAGTCCCTTGTCTTTCTCTCACGAACCCTAGCCATCCTATAAATGTCCTTCTATCCTTCCTTCGTACTCAAATGTTGGTAAAGATCCTCGTACGCTCTACCCTTTGCCACACACTTACAGTTCGCTTTGGTCTTCTTTGCCACCTTGTACTTCTCTATGTTGTCCACACTCCTGTCATGGTACAAGCGTCTATAGCATTCTTTCTTCTCCTTAATAGCCCTTTGGACTTCCTCGTTCTACCACCAAGTATCTTTAGCCTCGCCTCCACTTCCCTTGGTTACTCCACACACTTCTGAGGCCACCTTCCGAATGTTGGTTGCCATCTTCTCCCACATGTTTATGTCCTCTTCTTCCTTCCAAGAGCCCTCTTTGATAACCCTTTCCTTGAATACCTCTAATATCTCCCTTTCAGTTTCCACCACTTTGTTCTTTCAATCTTTAGCTTGTTTATCCCTATGGGCACGCACCTGAAAACGTAAGTCTACCACCAAAAGCTTATGTTGAGAAACAACACACTCCCCTGGTATCACCTTGCAATCCAAGCATGCACGTTTGTCCTTTCTTCTCGTGAGGACAAAGTCAATCTGGCTAAAGTGTTGTCCGCTGCTGAAGGTCACTAGATGAGATTCTCTCTTTCTAAAGAAAGTGTTGGCTATCATCAAGTCAAAAGCTACCGCGAAGTCCAGAACTTCCTCCCCCTCCTTATTCCTACTACCATATCCAAAACCTCCATGAACTGCCTCAAAACCTACGCTTGGAGTACCTACATGCCCATTAAGATCTCCTTCTATAAAAAGCTTCTCACTACTAGGTATAGCTCTAACCAGGCCATCTAAGTCTTCACAGAACTGTCTCTTAGCACTCTCGTCGAGGCCTACTTAGGGGGCATACGCACTAATTACACCAACGACAAGCTTGACTAAGATAATCCTATCTCCTTGCCTTCTCACTCCCACCACACCATTCTTGAGGCTCTTATCAATCAAAACTCCTACTCCATTTCTATTCGCGACTGTCCCTGTGTACCAAAGCTTGAAACCTGTATTGTCCACCTCCTTCGCCTTCTGACCCTTCCATTTAGTCTCTTGAACACATAATATATTCACACGCCTCCTAGTCGCGGTATCAACTAAAATTCTCTTAACTTACCTGTAAGTGACCCTACATTCCAACTACCTAGACGGATCCTAGTTGGTTCGACTAGCTTCCTTACCCTTCGCACCCGTCAACTCAGATGTGAAGACCCTTGCTCATTTTTCACTACACCCGGGCGCCGATGTAGCGCGCCACTAAGGAAGCGACGACCCGATCCTTGCTCACTTGACACCATGCCCAGATCACGACACGGCGCGTCACGAGGGTGACGACCCGGCCCTTGCCCATTTAACACCATACCCGGGTTCCGATATGGCGCGTCGCTAAGAGGGTTACGCCCCAACGATTTTCTTTCGGGTTTTATCTCCATTAAAGTAGCTAAGTTTTTACATTGGCTCGCCACGCCGAACACAACCCTCCTCCTTTACCAGGGCTTGGGACCTGCTATGCTGGGACACCAAAGGCGCCCCACCATAGGCGGAGTTGTCAGTGTACTGATACTCGTGTCAAAAAAAGTATGTCCACATAATAGCATACTATTTTCCCCCCTAAAAACAACGGTACATATACTCTGTAATAAAATTCTATGAGTATATGGACGCACTCTCAAATACATGTATGCAAATATGCTCATGTAATTTAAAAGTATGTGTCCATACTTTATTGATGGACAAAACGCTACGTATACTCTCTAATCCACGTGATTGGATCTCAAGGAGAAAAGGCTGACGAGAGAGAAGCTAACAACCAGCCGTAATCCACGTGAATAGCGAACGGATAGACTTAACAACCAGCTATGTCCGCACCCCGAATCCACGTGAATACTATATATATATATATATATATATATAATTTTAGGAAATATATATATATTAGATCGAAATAGTAGACTTAACTCAATTCTTTCATAATTAGATCGTTTGTTCTTACCTCAACAAGAGAAGCACGAGCCCCCTCTTTTTCTTCTTGTTCCCAATTCACTACTAAGCAAGTTCGAACGAATTGACTATTTGTGTGATATATATATATATATATATATATATATATATATATATATATATATATATATATAGGTTGGCATGTTTAGCAATTTTTCCCTTTCAGTTTTCACCTATGTAAGTTGGCAGTCCAACAAGGCTTAGTGTACTGTCTACATCTAGATAAGCCTGGGAGTCAATCCTTCAAATCTAGCTTGCGACACATACATAGAGCTCAACCAGTTGTCACCTAGCAGCATGATCTTGAGACTAGCACCATGTATTGCATATGAGACATGCTTTGCTATTAGCTCAAGAGATTAGTTTTGTTGCACAATTTCACAAATATTTCCAATTTCCTTTGTTTCAAAAATATTTCCTCAATGCAGAGAGTTCTTTCACCAGCAGGTAGGACAGTGGTGTAATCAGTAAAATTACAAAAGATCATGCAAGTAGTCATATAGCAACAGCATCAGTAACAAAGACCTTGCACTGGTTTTAGTATGATATCCCATTGTAGAAAAATAGGGCGGCGACCATTTAAACCAATGCTTTCAAACAGAAAATTACTCAAATTGAATGCATGGAACCACTTCCCCAACATAAACTTGTAAGCAGAAAGCAGTGGAAAAGTGGGGATAACTTAGTCAAGCATACGGGCCAACATATAGAAATACAATAGCATCAAACGAATATCTTTACCTTTTCTGCTTTAGAATCCTGACAAGGAATTCCTGGAGATGCCTTAACTGCAAAAATATCCCGTGTCATCCATCTCAAATAATTGAGACTTACTTTCTCAAATCTTGAAAGAGAAATATCAAACAACACAAGCACTGACATACCACGTTTGTCAGGTGACACTTCAGATAATTCCTGTTCATAGCGGTAGCTTTACAAACAAGTAGAAGAAATAAATAAACAAACATAGTGATCATGTAGTTGTAGGTCAAATTATAACAAATAAAGAAATCTACTAAGAAGGTGCAAAAATAGTACAGATTTCCAATGTCAACATCTTCTCCAGTATGGCCAAACCCGTTATCTTGAAGAATTGATGAAACATGATGAATCATCTCGTTACGCGGTACCTGCACATCACTGGGCACCTGCATACCATGCTCAACTTTTTTGAGACAAGTGACATTGATGATGAACAATCATTTGTTGAAAATGTAATAAAACAGCACCACCGCATAATAAATGGGAGCTGAGAAATGACAATTGATATGTAAAAAAGGCTTGCACAAGCTTTCAAATAAAGGAAATCACATTGACAACAAAAAAGTTCAGCTAAGACCCATCCTTGTACCATGTCAGAATTCAGAACAAGTCCACATAATAAATTGGCCATTTGAGGATATTGTGAACTAAAGAGAACCTACCTATATTTGTGGAAACACGTTTGAAATTTTAAAGTTCCAAATATTATGTAATGAAGCTGTACTCAAGAGCCCTAAACATAGTCCGACATAATTGACTGATACAGCACCTTAGTTAATAAATAAAAATTATGTAATCAAGCTGTAGCATCGGCTGCAAGTGCTTAACATAATGTATTCATCTTTATGGTGCGTGCATATACTAATAAATTATCAGGCATTTAAAATTGAAATACATCTCTATCACACATACGCAAGGTCCCTAGACATAGTCCTTCATAAGACGACACGTTCATTTATATACCAAATATTTTAGACCAAGGCTACCGATGCAGATATAATCAATTACCCTATTTATATGCCAAATATTGCAAAGGCTATAAATGCATATATAATCAATTACCCAATACAACAAATATAAAATCAGACAGGTGGACTCCATTTTAATGCTTTCGTTGCACAGACATATAACAGCCCATGTTTTAAAGGTGGTAACGCGAGGCGTGGCAACCGATCCCCTTCCAGTCGCCTAGGCGTGCATAAGGCGAGAGGTGAGGCGACGCCATATCCATCTAAGAAACATACCATGTGTGCATCCTGGAGGAAAGAAAAAAGGAAAAGAAAAAGAAGAGAAAGCTGGAAGTAGAAGAAAGCCTAGCCCACACGTGCTCCCACCTCTCTCGCGTGCGACGCGCTGTGCGGGGCGCTCAGCCGCCTTCTCCTAGATCTGCTGCCACGAAGCAAATCGGAGGGAGGTGTGCCGGCCAGAGCGCCAGAGCCAGCAGGGAGAGCAGTGGTGCCAGCTGTTTGGCGTTCCTAGCTGGTTCCCATCCCATTATTCCCCTCTTCCCCCCCTCCCTCCCTCGCTTTTGCTGCTTTATTGGAAAAAAGCGACCGGGACACCCAAAATTTTTGAGCGCCTCAACGCTTAGGCGATGCCTTAAAAACATAGATAACAGCAACTATAGAGGTTTACTGTCTCTAAATTCTCATACACATGAATTGATAAAAGCAAATTCAGAATTTCAGTACAGCCATTGACCACCGTAGATAACCAATATGTCAATCAAAAAAAAAAGTGACCGCATTATCAAATACTATGTTAAGTGAACTTTTAGCCATTCAGTACACCTAAAATACAAAAAACTCAACTGTAAGTATTACCTAAATATCAGTCTCAGCAGGCTAGTGTTATAGTAATAGGTCGACTTTAGATGATGAAAGAACATTTTAAATTCATTAATCTGGTGTCAAAAGCCTAAAGGCCATTGCCGTCTTGAATTATTCAAGTAATTGGCATCAAATGCTCAAAGGCTTAATATGAGGCTTCTTATTGAAGCTAGTGGAGGTGAGTTGTAGCTTCTAAAGCTCCATTTGGCATTGCAGTAGATTAGATGATTTTGTTTGTTAGGACAGCTTTATAGAGTGTGGTTGGTTATGATCTTTTACTAAAATAAACTTGCACTAATTTGGAAACATAGTTCTGCTGACAGAAAGTTTTAACAAAAGAGAACTGACCCGTCTCGAACAAGCAGGAATAGATGAAAACAATTCAAATTAGAAACATGAACACCAGCAAACACAACAAAAAGAAAAGCCTAAAACGGGTGGTGCAGTCTATTTCGGTGAGGATAAAATACCCAACTCTGTAATTAAATGTAATAACGCATCGGCATTCTACATGTCATGGAAAAAAAAATCACATCCAATAACTGTTTGTTAAGATTTAATTTAATATGCTACTTGTGACACTAGATTCCCAGCAGTAACTTTGCAATAGCAGCTTTTCAAATAAGCGTGCACCAACCAGAACCTTTCTGGTGGCATTGCCCTGAATCTGAAATTCCTCATAGAAGGCGTAAATAAACAAGTTTACGCATGGCTATCCCCTTGAAATCAATTTTCAAACAAATATTTTGCCAAAAAATTATTAATCTCGGGCTCAAACTATAACAAGAGCCTATACATCAGTATAAGATTTCTTTTTTTATTACTCTCAAGTCTCAACTGATTCGATAAGTTTCAGCATATATCAATGTTTTCAAGTCGTCCGATTAATCGTCCTGGTCGGTCCCAGGTGACTGATCAGGGGTACTGTCGACCTGTACAAGTCGTCCGATTAATCGTGATTAATCATCCTGGTCGGTCCCATGTCGACCAGGTTCGACCAGACGACCTGAAAACATTGGCATATATGATGAAGTTAATGCAGAAACCCCTTGGTAGAAGGGTGAAAACATTCTCAAACCAGGGAAGGATGTCGTAGCCATGCTTGTCTAAGAAACCAATTCTTGCAAAGAACACATTGAGCAAACAGACTTGAATTGTAACAGTAACTAATCAATGATTTGTACCTCTGGATGTGATCGGATATATGCATCAAGAGCTTCACCAGTGTGGGAAACTGCATGAACAAGCAGTAATGCGGCATTAGCAAGCTTTTTCTGCGCCACCAGCTGCCTATTTTCCTTTCCAGTTTGACCTCTCTCCAAGCTGACAATGTGGTACAGAATACGATTTATGAGAACATAAAATCCATCTTGCTTGTTTTTGCCGTTTCTGTTGCAGGATAACCCCCCACGGATCTGCTTTTGAGTTGCCAGGAGCAAAATTGCGCTCTCGACAAGTCTTCCTTCCTTAATGTAATTCCAGAGCTCATCGATAAGATTATCTGTGTGTTCCCCAAGCAATCTTGTCGTATCCAAGAAGATTTTCTGCAAAAACAACAGATAAGGAACAAAACTCATGAGCTTCCAGATTTACACAGAGGCACATAAAACTGATTAATTTCCAACAGTGTTGCCACATCCAAGCAAAACATAACTGAATATTCAAATTTGCTGATATCAATGATCTTCTGCAAAGACAGTAAGGAATAATATTCAAGAGCATCTGGAGTCTATATAGAAGCAGATAGAACTGAGCAATTTCCAGCAGTGTCGTTATATCCATGAAAATTCAAAATTTGCTGACATCAACTTGAAATTACGAACTCCTCAACCAGTAAAGACATGTTTCAACACATGAAAACACGAAAAATGACACATTCTGCAGTCAACATATGGGTGTATAAGAATGTTCAATCATTTAGTTATGGCATTAGTGGTTTGAGATAAGAGCACAATAACTTTTACGCTGCAAAGTAGATATCTATTCGGGTAGGATGGATGTGACAAACCATTTCAGGCAGGCACAGAAGATGGATGAGCTTGCAGACATAGTTCGCATTTGCCTGATTGTTATCCAGATCCTCCTGGTTAAGAAATGCATTGTCCTCCAGATACTTATGCAGACAAGTGTTCTCAACTGCAACATGGAGCGGAAGTAGGCCTTCAATGACCTCAGGACCAGCCGTGCGTACATTTGCCGATGCATTATAGCAGAAGAGCAACTTGATCATGTCAACAGAGAACATTTCAGCAGCTTCGTGAAGAGGGAAATATCCATATCGGTTCATGCAATTGGGATTGGCACGAAACCCACGAAGCTCAGGTGCTTTGCCAACCAAAGCAACTTTAGCGCATTTCAGCGCGTTTTGCTTGACCATCTGAGTGAAGGTTAGTGGCGTGATGATGAAACCCCATGCCAAGCCACGATAATCCCGTTGAAATAAGTCAAGAAAGCCATGCACGTTATCCTCATCCAGTATGGGCACCAGATGGGTAAGTGCATCCCAGAAGCCACCATCCACCGACTACATTGATCAATTCACAATTGAAAAAGAGAACCTAATCAGTTATCAATGTGAAAAGGAACACAAAAAATAAAATAAAGAAGGGCTTGCTCAAACGCATCATTGATTAAGTCCAATACTTAAAGATAATTCAGGTTTTTAATATAATAGCCAAAAGATTTATCCAACAAATTCTGCAAATGATGATAACAAAAAACCTCAGGAGTACGGTCTGGAATGATAATTTTGGTCCTCCTCGAGGTAGCGATCACTTCATCTACTTCATCAAACCACTGAGAGAGGAAATTTGCCAACCAGTGGAAATTTGTCAACCACGGAAGCTAAGAAAATAGAAAAGAAGGAATATCATAATGTGTGGTCAGTTACTGTACCTCACTGATTAATTTGGCTTGGGCCAGCAGGTCAAGGCCTGGAGGCGCAGGACGGCGTGGAGGACAGGGAGGATTCCACGGATCCCATTCATCCATGGATGGTCCATGAACTTCATGAGAAGCGGATTTCACTTTCTCCACATGCGTTGTCTCCATTCTGCAGATGTGCCATGGAAAACGCTCCAAATAAGTTTCTTTATATATGTTTAGAGAATTTGTGCCGTGGAATATAACGATGGAAATGTGGATTTATTTTAAGTACAAAAAAAATTACAAGATGGCTGACCAATCTATATTTCAGGATCATAGCACGAGCTTTGACCAATAATTACAAAGTGACACCTCCATATGCATCTACTAGGTCCATAAAAACAGTGTGAACATCACAAATAATCACATAACCTTTATGTTTCCCTTGTTCCAATAAATATAATACCAGCAGATTCATTTTGAAAACATTAGACAAAGTAACAGTATTTGCAATTCAAGGCAATGGTCACACGGTGATCTTGAAGACCGCATGGAAGGATTGGGGGACATATGCCAGGGTTTAGTTTTCATCCTAAACCATCCACAAATGTTGTACAACATTAGTTCCCTAGGCTTGTTTGAAAGTAAGTCTTGGGTCACTTAGCAGCCATGTCAACAATTTCGAGATGCCATACTCCAATTGGCAGAAGGCCTGCATGTCAGTTGCAAAGGAGGATTTTTCTTTACTTTTGCTTGTTCACTCGGCGATATGTTAGCGCACATGTGTCAATATATTGGATGCTAGTTGGTGTAATATAGGACCAAAAGCAGGTTAGTTAGGGTGTGGGATGTGGAATGCACTGTGTTAAGACTGGAGAATGTAAAACAAACAGTATTGATATTGAGTGTGCGAATTTAAGATCCCTTATGAGGATCAAGAATGGATGTTATCCTAAATTCTAGAACAGTCAGAGCTTTACATTGCAAATAACAATCAACATGTAAACAAGTCTGTTTTTTACCCTATGGTACCAGTGGCCTGAGAATCACAAGGATCCTGCCTATAAACATGAAACAAGCATATAAGTTCGTCTCGCACATGCAAGCTGAACTGAACAACAGGACACTCTGACAGCAGGGTTCCCAAAAGCGGCACTAATCGCACGCTTCAGCGCGCTTCAGCGCTAAGCGGACGGGGAGCGCTTCGCTATGGGGCATAAGCGCTCCCAAAGCGGCGTGACCGCCTTGGTGGAGCAGCGGCTGCTGGCTCCCGCTGCCCGCCGGCCGCGCGCGGCGCGCGGCGCGCGGCGCACGGCGCAGCCGCAGGGCCGGGCGCCGTCGACGGTCCAGCGGAGGTGGGAGGGGAGAGGGAGGTGCGTACGCAGGGTCGCCGGCCGGTGTGCGGAGGACGTAGGCGAGGGCGGCGAGGCGACTGGCGAGAGGCGGGACGGGGAGCCGCTGACGCCGGCGCCGAGCCTGGGACTGCCCCGCCGTCGCTGAGGCCCAAGCCTGAGCGCCGCCTCCGTGGCCTTCGTGCCGAGCGCGAGTGGGGGAGGGAGCAGAAGATGCGCCGGCGCTGCCAGGAAGATAAGAAACGGCGGCGGCTGTCAGGCTGTGTGCCTCAGTGTTAGGTGCTGGATTAATGGGCTTTTAGACGGGCCACTAAATAAAAGCCCATACCATCCTTTTTATCCTTTCCTTTTCTATTTCTTTTTTCTTTCTAACATATTTTGACAAATCAGCACATAATCTATATCTATATAGCTACGATAACATATTTACCTACGTTTCGTGAAGCCACATCGATCTCCATTATCCTCTATTGATCATATGTATTTATAGTTAAATTCCTGCTCCACCAGAAGACATCCGATTTTAAACCTGGATCGACGTCTATTAGGCTTCCTAGCCTCCTGTCATGGTTCTGCAACGAATCGGACAGATAGCTTGAGGATTGGAGATTTAGGAGAGAAGCAGGAATGAGGATGAAGAACAGAGATAGATGTCATTGAGGTTTTAGGGTTTCAGTTCTTTGTTACACGACACAACGCCCTTGGGCATTATATACCAACCTGATTCCTACCATAACGCTCGTTAACTCACCGCCAACTCACACCACTATGGCTTAGCTGTCACCTTTACCCACCTTGACTGACGTCGTTTGCTCTGTTGCCAAACGTGCAACAGTAATCCTGATCCTTCTTGCCTTCTCCTTCATGGCCTAGGCATTGCCCTCCCTCGAAAAGCTGCTTGTCCCCAAGCAACAGTGGATGGAAATCGCCGCTAGAGATCATGAGCCTCCTCCCACGTCGTCAAGGTTGATGAGTGATCAGACCACTGCACCTAAATTTGTGACAGCGAAGAAGCCCCTTTCTACACCATACGTGAAGCCAGAAAATGGATGGATGGACTGGACAACCGTGGAAGGATAATCTGGAACCAAAGCGATATCATCTTCCACCTACGCTGCAGGAGGGATACCCGACCCTCACATACTCGTGGATAAGTTTTCATGCCCGTGCCCGCATCCATTGGGTATGAAACCCGCGGGTACCCGCACCGGCGGGTAAGATTGTCATTCTTACTCTCATTGGGCTAAAAACGTGAGCATCGCACGCAACACTCGGGGGCATCAGACAAACGTTGCAGCGTCCGATGTATCGTGCAACGACACTTGTCACTATCTGTTTGAAACTAGTCATAGGCGCCCAATGGTTCTCAACGCGCGTGGCTGCTCCTTCATTGTCCGATGCACATCAGACAAACGTGTCACAAACGTCCAATGCGATCTAGAGAGCAACGAGAGCCATCCAAAACACATCGGATAAGTCCGATTGAGGGGCATCGGACAAATGCCAACATCTGATGTGACTTTGACTCTCTGGTCAGCGAGTGAACAGTGCCAGCTCATCGTCCGGTGCAACTCCATACCATCATCCGATGCAATGTCTGGTGCCTGCCTGAGTCTTTGCTGCTTAGGGTATGCCATCAGACGTTACCTCCAGTTGTCCGATGGCCACGTCTTGATCATCCGATGCAGGCAGAGCTTCTCCTTCTCTTCTATTTCTTCAACCCTTGCATCCATGTGCTAACACCTTTGTATGTCCAACGCTTAGGCACTTGTGTTAGCATTCTTCAAAGCAATTTCAAGGGTCAAGTTAGCACTCACTAGGTCCTAATGCAAATGCATGGTGTCAGATCACCTAGTGGCACTTTGATAATCGTTTTACCATGATATCACCCCTCTTAATAGTACAACTATCTATCCTAAACCGTATCATGAACTCTATTGTGTCTCGATCGGGAAAAACAAAATGGCCCTATCAAATATACATTTGCCTTGAGTCTATTTTATTTTTCTCTTTCTTCTTTTCCAAGTAGGAGCACATGATCATCGCTTTTGGACATCCCATCTATCTCCATGGTTTGCTATCTAGCTCCACTTGGTCTTGGACCAACCTATCTCATCTACACACTTAAGCATAGGGTTAGTCCAAATAGGTTTACTCAATTAGCCAAAACCAAACTAGGGCTTTCAACACCCCACTGTCATGTAGTTCCCTAACATATGTAAAATAAATAGAAAATCAAAATGCGATTGAGGTATCTGAATTAGAGAAACAATGGTGAAGACATGTCTAAGATGTCTCACATGCCTTATTTCCATGTTCTTCAGCGAACAAGGCAAATGGGTTTAGCTTGGCACCAATTGTGTATTTGTCACTTGATATGTATTACAATCAGAACATTTAAATCGTTTAAGATGTGCAACGAACATGCTCCCATTTAATTATTGTGATCGTTGTGCTTTTTTATTCATACACGAGGCAAGTGTGCAATATTTCTACCTCGAAAAACAAAAGCTTTCAACACCATTCCTCAATATATGATAAAGAAATCATCCTTTAAATTCCTGCAGCAACGCGCAGGGAAAATCATCTAGTTCAAGTATGTTGGATGCTTTGAGTTCTGCATTGGGGTGCATTATATGTTAGGGACCCTATTAATGTGTTTAGGGCCCAATTACATAGCGAACAGACTTGTGAGATAATGATTAGAGCCCATTTATAGCCCCTAGATGCTCTTTTGTAAATACAAGCCCCATTAAAGGAAATTATGAAAATTTCCCCTCCCACCTCCCTACAAAAGGGGAAGCATGGAGGTGGAGATGACCTAGCCATTGATTCATTTGCTCTCTCTCTCAATTGCTCTCCACTCTTATCTCTCATTTGTTCGATCCAAGACCAAAATTCTGGATGTCTGCTGTATCACAAAACACTTAAGGGCTTAGGAACGTTTAAGCACGCTTAGGAACGCTTAAGCACGCTTAAACTCTAGGCGGTGGGTCATTGCTCACTTAGTGCTTAACGCCTTTTGTAACCTTGTTTGACAGTATACTACATAACTTGAATGATGCAATAGCCCCTAAAAAATACTATAAGGAAGCATATAAAGGAATCCAAACATACTAGATAACTTCAAGCATATGGGCTCAACAACAAGAACTACGGCTAAGGAAAAAAAGATCTGAACTTGCAATAATGATTTTCAGTAGCAACAAATCCTTCGTTTTTTAAATTGAAGGCTAACAAAGATATTGAAACAATTGCAAGCAAAACTACAGAGCACTTAGTAAACAAAAAAAAAGAAAAAAAAGATAACAGCATAAATGAGAATCGAAATGATAGTAGCGCAACAAGAAAAAAAATGACACGTACAACATGTTAACTTATGATAAAAAGATTTTGAAGATTATTAGATGGATGACGGATCAATCTGGTTTAGGGGTTATGGAACAAGTGAAGTAAAATGGTGAGGTAGGCATAGAAGTAACAAAGCTGCAGATCTGAGAAGCAGCCTAAAATCTTTTCCCAAATTAGAAGATACATGCTTTTTTCTCTTTGACGAATCGAAAGAAAAATGTAAAATAGAGCGGGGGAGCAAATGGCGACGAGGGTCGCCAGATAGAATTTCATGGCGACAGCGGATAGCAACTGGAGAAGACAGGAGAGGAAGATGCAGCAAACTTTTCGTATGGCGGGGCTAAAGAGAGAGGTCAGAGAAGGTGCAAACCCTACCTGCGGGATGTCGTTGTCACGCCGGGACTACAGAAGGCAACGGATGAGTGTAGGAAGGAGATGCAACGAGAGGAGGGGAAGAGGAGATATTTGTCCACTCGTTTCCCC